TGGGCAATCCTACTTCCGTAGTGATACTGCCTCGGAAACCCAAGGAGGGGTCGCTATGAGTCGGGGCCGACTCGACGGCACATAACAACAACAACAAGTTTTCCTCTGATAAACTTTAGTTTTAGGTTTTACATGTAGGTCTTTGATCTATCTTGAGCTGTTTTTTGTATATGGTGTGAGTATGGACATTGTTTCATTCTTCTGAAAATGGATACCCAGTTTGGCCAGCATCCTTTGTTAAAGAGACTATCTCTTCCCCATTTAATGGGTTTCAGCTCATTGCTGAAGATCAGTTGTCCATGGGTGGATGGACCTATTTCTGGGTTCTCAATTCTGTTTCACTGGTCTATGTGTCTGCTGTAGCAACATCAGGCTGTTTTGACTATTGTGGCTGTACAGCAGGTTTTGAGTGTGGGGAATGAGAGAGCTCCGACTTTGTTCTTCTTCTTCAGTACTGCTTTGCTTATCTGAGGTCTCTTTCCTTTCCATATAAAAGTAGTGACTGTTTTTTCCATGTCTTTAAAGGATGTTGATGGAATCTGAATTGGGATTGCATTGAACCTACAGATTGTTTTGGGCAATATTGGCATTTTTACAATGTTCAGTCTTCCTATCCATGAGCATGGTATATTCTTCCATTTATGTAGGTTTCTTATTGTGTCTTGTAATAGTCCTTTATAGTTTTCTTTGTATAGGTTTTTTGTGTCTCTGGTAAGATTTATTCCTAAGTATTTAATCTTTTTGGTAGCTATTATAAATGGTATTTTTTCCTCATTTCCTTTTCAGAGATTTCTTTATCGATGTAGAGGAATCCAATTGATATTTTGTATGTTGATGTTATATCTTGCCACTTTGCTGAATCTTTCAATTAGTTCCAGTAGTTTTCTTGCTGAGTCACTTGGGTTTTCTATACACAGGATCATGTCATCTGCAAATAGAGATAGTTTTATTCTTCTTGGCCAATTTAGATGTTTTTTATTTCTCCTTCTTGCCTTATTGCCTTGGCTAGGACTTCCAATATAATGTTGAACAGAAGTGGTGGTAGAGGGTCTCCTTGTCTGGTTCCCATTTGCAAGGGGAATGCTTTCAGTCTCTCTCCATTGCAAATAATGTTGCCTGTTGATTTTGTGCATATGCCTTTAATTATGTTGAGGAATTTCCTTTCTATTCCTATTTTTCTCAGTGTTTTTTTTTTTTTTTTTTTTCTTTTAATCAGGAATGGGTGTTGGATTTTATCAAATGCCTTTCCTATATCAATTGATATGATCATGTGGTTCTTTTATGGTTTATTTACATGATGGATTATGTTGGTTGTTTTTCTAACATTGAGCCATCCTTGCACACCTAGTATAATTCTCACTTGGTCATGATGCATTATTTTTTTTGACATAGTGTTTTATTCAATTGGCCAAGATTTTTGAACATTTTTGCATCTATATTCATGAGGGATTATTGACCTATAATTTTCTTTTTTAGTGGTGTCTTTGCCTGGTTTTGGTACCAGGGTTATACTTGTTTCATAAAATGAATTTGGGAATATTCCATCCTTTTCTATATTCTGGAATAGTTTGACTGGTGTCAGCTATTGTCTGAATATTTGGTAGAATTCTCCAGTGAAGTTGTCTGGGCTAGGACTTTTCTTTTTTTATGATCTATTCAATTTCTTCTTTTGTTATGGGCTGTTCATATTTTCTACTTCAGTCTATGTTAGTTTAGGTAGGTCTTGTATTGCTTATCAATTTTTTTAAAATCTGCCTTTACCATCAGTGGGAGGATCCAAAGGATCAGAAACATATTGGTCTTGGTTCCTACTATAGAGCCAGTACCCAGAACAGGACCTAACACATAACAGGTGCACAATAAATACATGTTGAATCACTGAAAGCTTATCTCTAACAGTGTCTTTTACTTATGTTAGACACTTTATATATACAGTAAAACCTGAGAAAGCTGGAACTCGTATAAGGTGGAAACCTCTCAGAAAAGGAAAACTAAAACATTTTTCACTAATTGAGAACAACAGAAAAGCGCTAAGACTGTACCCTGTCAAAGGCAGAAAACTTGTGAGACCTGGAAAAGCAAGGTAGTCATGTTGAATTCTGGCTCTCAAGGTTTCACTGTTTTCTAACCATCACATCAGCTTGTAAGGTGAAGTTAATTAGTTCCATTCGGTAGTGGCAGAGCAAAAAGAAATGGACTTTGTAGTCAAACAGATTTGAATCCTGGATCTAAGTATATGTGTGACCTTGGCCAAGTCACTTACCCCACCTGAGGTTGGGTTTCTTTAGGTTGCACAAGAGGGGTCTAATTCAGAGCTGCTACTGAGAATTAAATGAGATTTAAGTAGGCATTCAACAAACGGTAATTATCATTATAGCAGAGGAATGAGAGGCTCTGAGTGGTTCACTAACTTACCCAAAGACACATAGCTGGAAAGTGGTAGGAAGAGAGCAGTAAAAAACCATTAGCATTTTCAAGTCTGGGTAGCTCCATGGCAGCACCAGGAGCAACCTAGGTGCTGGTGCTCTGGCTGACTCCAGGTACTCTGCAGAAATCGCCATCAGCCAAACTGCAAGGAGGTATGCTGAGATACTGCGTGAGCCCCAGGCTTGGCTGCTGGGGCTTGTCCCAAGGCCATACCTAAGATAAGACTCAAGGGCTGAGCCACAGTAAAGAGGAAGTCAGCTACAGTGTGGGAGAGAAGACTATAAGCAGAGTAACGGAAACCAAGGATATTTTTGGTTCCAACACACTGTTTCTACCACCTTTAACTCATTTGGTGCAATAAGCAATGCAGAATCAACCACCAATGTCAAAGAAATCATTTCAGTAGATTTGCCTGACCGCAACTCAGTTTCCTCATCTGTAAAAGGAGGAATAAATAAGATGACTCATAATACTTGGCCCACTGTTCGCAGCACACATTTCGGTTCTGAGAGGACCGAACAGAACCATGAGGGATTCTCCTGGCAGGCCTTCTCCTTTTCCTCACATGGTACCACGACTTCTCAGCATGATGCCCAGGGAAAAGCATGGCTATAAAATCAAGAGGCCTCTTTTTGAATCAAAGCTCTGGCTCATGGCATCACTTTGAACATTGGTTGCCTGCATTTGTAGATGAGGGTAAGAATCCTTTCCTCCCAGGGCCACTTACTATGAGGATTACCTGAGAGAATTTTCTTGGCATGTGGGCTCCAAAAGAATAGGGGCTCAATGATTATTGGTCATTTTTAAGATTATTGGGAGCTGTGAAACAAGCATGACTGTTCACCCATTTCCTTCAAGGCAGTTATCAAGATCTGTAATTACTAGCTGTTTGCTTGCTAGTTGTCTGTCTCTCTCATCAGAATGTTAGGTTATAAGAGCAGGGACTGGGTCTGTATTGGGGATTATCAGAAGGTCTAAATATGTATTTGATCGGTGAAAGGAAGAATCTGGTCACATTTGGCAATTGCCTATAGAGGGAGCTCCTGTAATAACACTGATGGCAGCAGAGATTGGGGTCTTCAGGGCAATGAGATAAACACTTCTCTATTCAGTGTAGTGGGAGCTCTGGTGGTGCAATGCCTAAGACATTTGACTGCTAACCAGAAGGCTGATGGTTCAAACCCACCAGCCACTCCTTAGAAGGAAGACTGGGCAATCTATTTCCATAGAGATATCACCTCAAAAACCCAAGGAGGGGTTGCTATGAGTTGGATTCAACTCGATGGCAATGACTGATTTTTTTTTTTTTTTTTTAAAAGGTCAGGAAATCTAGGCATTATTAGGGGACCATCAAGGAAATTTATGCTTCTTTACTAAAACCTTTAGTCCAGGAGGTCCAAAGGTTGGGGAGAAGCTGATGGGAGAAAAACTTACAGAAGAGACACTTCTTTCTGTTAACTGATTTATCTTCTGGTGACTGAGAAAAAGCTGCCAGGGTTCCATTTCAGCCAAGGAGAAGCTATCTTAGTTCTGATTCAGAGGCCTTGAGCTCCTGCTGTAGACCCTTGAATTTCAAAGGATGGTTACTCACTGGTTCTTGTGCTTGAAGCCGCTGACATGAGCTTGATATTGTTCTATGGAGTTCAGCACTATCTTACATGTCTTGCAGGGGTAGCCTTTCCCAGCTGCTGAAACAAACACACATCAAAATCAAGATGTTTAGTTACCTAGTAAGCAGGACCTGGGGACTATTACTTTTGATAGGATGTACATACAGATGGCCTTCTGGGGACTGATGTGTGGAGCAAGGTCAAGTGGTAGGCCCTGATGGTAATCCCAGAAGCCTTGGTGCTTAGGAGCACACTGTGTGCCTATGTGCTCCTTAGGGTTGGGGACCTCTTTATTCTCATTTCCTTCTGGGTTCCCAGTCCCAGCCCAGAGTAACTGTTTGCTGAGTAAATACAGAATGACAGAACAAAGATGTGATATTCTGTGTAACTGTGCTAAGTGGCCTCATTAAAGATGCCCTTCACTGAGAGGAGACTCTGGGAAGATGCCACTCTCCTCGGGCTTGCAATAACAATAATTAATGTTATGAATGCCTGTTATGAAAATCAATGTCTTTCTCTCTGGGGGCTCATAGACACCCTGACTACCACAGATACTCCAATGACAAAGTGGCCTTTTCCCACAAGGTCTATCAGAGACAGCACAGGTCAAGAGCCAAGATATGAGGCTGGACTTCTGGTTCTGCCTTTGTGTGACCTTGGCTAAAGCCCTTTCCTTCTTATCCTCAACCTTTTTCAACTGCAAACCACTTAAAGCACAACTTATAATCACAATATTTATAATTTAAAAATGCTATTTACCAAATACCTGATACATGCTGTTAATGTCACATAATTTTGTTTGCTCTGTATAATAATCTTTGAAGATTATTACTAAAAAGAAAAGAAAAGAAATTGCCGATTGAGTCAATTCTGACTCATAGTGATTCTGTAGGACAGAGTGGAATGGCTCCATAAGGTTTCCAAGGCTGTAGTCTTTATGGAAACAGACTGCCTTATCTTTCTCCCCTGGAGTGGCTGGTGGGTTCAACTTTTCAGTTAGCAACCGAGGCACAGTCACATAACCAAGAACACAGAGCTAATAAGTGGCAAATTCAGGCTTGACTGACTGCAAAGGTTGTACTTATTCTAGCATGCCTGGCACTGGCTATATAAGGCTGCTACACAAACTATGTAAAAGTCCCTTTGACTCTGGTATCTGACAAATTATCTGCCACTCTACAGTACCACAGTTTTGGAGTGAGATCACCTTGGTTCAATCCAAGCTCTATCACTTAGCTGTGGGACTACAAGCCAATTACTTGAGATTTGATTTCCTCATTTGTAAAAGTGGGGTTTTCTGAGATTCAGGCTCTTCACCTATAAAATGGGGTTAATATTAGTATCAATCTCATGAGGTTATTGTAATGATTTAAATAAATGTATCTGGTATATAGTAAGTAGGCAATAAATGTTAGCACTTAAGACTATTTCTATTCTACTTTTCTAAATTCTGTGAGTCTTGCTGGCAAAGAGGGAGAGGCTGAGGGTATCTTTTAAGCCTTCCATAACAACTTCAGCTACTGAAAACACAGACAATCGCCTCTACTAGAATAAGTAAGCCAATGTTTTGAGTTATGTTTTGTTTCCTTGTATCTTCAGGTGTTTTCTGGAAGACATAGCTATCCTTTTAAAGGAGAAAATTATTGCTTTCACAATTAGAGGTCCTTTTTAGACAACAGGGAGCTCTGGTGGCACAGTGCCTAAGGCATCTGACTACTAACCAGAAGGCTGGCGGTTCAAACCCACCAGCCACTTCTCAGAAGATTGAGCAATCTACTTCCATAGTGATACTGCCTTGGAAACCCAAGGAGGGGTTGCTATGAGTCAGATCTGACTTGATGGCAGTGAGTTTGGTTTTGTTTTTGGTTTTTTAGACAATATGCATGGTTCAACTCTAACAGAGAAAAGCCATCACAATATGGAAGTGGGATGTGGGGTTGGTGTGAGGATGGTAACCACCAATGGATAAGACTCACAGACACAAGATTACAACAGCCCACTTACTAGTGCCAGGGCTTGGGCATATTTATGTTCATATTTAATATGTTCAAATATTATGAACATATTTATGTTCTTGGGACCTTACAATAACCATGTAAGACCCTGTAATAACCTCCATTTCTCAGAGCAGGAAAATGGCTCAGACAACTGATTCCCCCGGGTCAGAGCTAGGATTTGTATGCTCGTCCAACTGTGAAGCCTCTGTTCTTCCTTCTGCACCACAGTCCTCTGAATTCTCCTATGCCCCTTGTGAGGTACAAGATCTCAGCACACTATCTGCTGACCTGCAAATAATATTCAAATAATCATTAGGGGCAACTGCAAAATCTACTAAGTTTTCTAAAGTAATGGATTTGTCTAATACCCATACATGAATTCATCTGCTTACTGTTTTGCAAAATGATTAATATTCTGGTTTATCTGTGTGATATTATGAAGTGTAACTCATTAGATCTGATATTTAAAGATTTGTTTATTTAGGAAAAAAAAAAAAGAATGTCACTTGCTGGTGTGAATCTCTCTTCCATCTTACTCTCTCTCCTTACGTTATCACTTTTATTCCCTCTTCCCTCTGCCAAGCCTTTTGTAAGAGCTGTCTAAACTTGCTTCTCCATTTCCTTGCCTCACAATCACTCTGCAACACCCTCATCCCCAACACACACACACACACACACACACACACGTTCTTTCCAAGGTCAATAGTGGCATTTATGTATCTAAATTTAATGGGGAAACTGGATAACTGGATGCTTATTAGACTTCATCGTATTTGACCTCTCAACAGCATCTGGTAGACTGATAACCCCCATTGTGTCTTTAAACTCTCCCAACCTTTGGCTTTCAGCATGCCATGTTCTTTTTCTCTTGTTGTTTAACCATTTGCACCACCACAGTTGTTGTTAGTTGCCACCATGTGTTAGAGTAGAACTGCTCCACAGGATTATCTTACCCAACCAAAAGGTTGTCAGCATGCCAAGCTTTTTATTTTTTCTCCTTCTTTGGTTGTTCTTTTCAGTCTCTTTGCTGTCTCTTGTTTTACTACACCATTAAATGTTGATATTCCAGCGGTCTAAATCCTAGACTATTAGTCTCTCTAAGGGATCTCATTTATTCTCAACCCAATTAACATCTATTAGGTTAAAAATAGATGAAGCTACCAATGTTCCAAGTTTCTGACCTAAAAATGGCAATTTTATATAGTTCAAACATATGATGGAAACACAAATTTCCCTAATCCATACTCTCCTTTGAGTTCTAGACCTGTATATCCAATTGTCTTTTTTTTTTTTTTTTTCCCCACTTGTAAAACTATACACATCTGCCAAATCAATATTTTTTTGGGTGTATAATTTAATGACATGAATTATATTAACTAATTGCCTATTAACATATCTACTTGGATGCCTCATGGTCATTTCAAATTCAATGTGACAAAATCTGGTCATCCTCCTGTAACTGAGTAAGCCTAAACCAGGGCACCATCTTTGACTGCTCCTTTCTTTCATCTCCAACACCTGATGGCCAAGTCCTGACGACTCTACTTCCTATGTACTTCTTGAACACAACTACCCTGTCCATCTCTTCCACTGCTACCTTAGTCTTAGCTCTCATGTAGAATATGTGAACCATTACTATAGACTCAACTATGGTCTCTCTTCAATAACTTTCCATACAATTACAAACTATTCTCCATACTTTAATGATGTATGAATAATACTTAAACTCTCAATGGTTTCCCAGTGTTCTTACAATAAAGGCCCAAGTCCTTAATACAATTCTGTAACTGGACACTTGCTCACCCACCTGGCCTCATTTTGTTGTACATTACGCCCTTTGCCCCACCACTTATCTGTCAGTTTGTTGTACTGTAGTGACTTGCAAGTTGCTGTGAAGCTGGAGGTTATGTCACCAGTATTTCAAATGTCTGCAAGGTCACTCATGGTGGGCTGTTTTCAGTGGAGCTTCCTGACTAAGACAGACTCGGAAGAATGAAGGGGTCATCCACTTCTCAAAGAATTGGCTAGTGAAAACCTTATGAATAGCAGTGAAACACTGTCTATTATAAAACTTTATGAATATAAGAATAGCCCTGAAACACTGTCTGATCTAGTGCCAAAAGATGAGCTCCTCAGGTCAGAAGGCACTCAAAATAAGACCAGGGAGGAGCTGCCTCCTCAAAGTACAGTCGACCTTAACAACATGGATGGAGTAAACGTTTTGGGACCTTCATTTGCTGATGGAGCACAACTCAAAATGGGAAGAAACAGTTGCAAACATCCGTTAATAATCAGAATGGGGAATGTAGGAAGTACTAATCTAAGAAAATTGGAAGTTGTCAAAAATGAAGTGGAACACATAAAGATCGATACCCTAGGCTTTAGTGAGCTGAAATGGACTGGTATTGGACATTTTGAACCAGATAATAATATGATTTACTATGCTGAGAACAACAAATTGAAGAGGAATGGTGTTGTACTCACTATAACAAAGAATGTTTCAAATTTATCCTGCTGTCATTGATAGGCTAATATACATACACCTACAAGGAAGACCTGTTAGTACTACTATTATTCAAATTTATGCACCAACGACTAAAGCCAAAGATGAAGAAATTACAATTTTTTTTTACTAACTTCTGCAGTCTGAAACTGACCACACATGCAATCAAGATGTATTGATGATTACTGGTGATTGGAATGCAAAAGTTGGAAACAAAGAAGAATCATTGGTAGTTGGAAAATATGGCCCTGGTGATAGAAATGACACTGGAGATTGCATGATATATTTTGAAGACTGACTTATTCATTGCAAATACCTTTTCGTCAGCAACATAAACAGTGGTTACACACGTGGACCTTGCCAGATTGAATACACAGGAGTCAGACTGACTATATCTGTATAAAGGGGTGATGGAGAGGCTTAATATCTTTAGCCAAAACAAGGCCAGGAGCTGACTATGGAACAGACCATAAACTGCTCATATGCAAGTTCAAGCTGAAGCTGAAGAAAATTAAAAGAAGTCCACAAGAACCAAAATATGACCTTGATTATACCCCACCTGATTTTAGAAACCA